AGGCCAACAGAAAACGACATGTTTGCCATCTTCCAATACAACTGTGCCCAGCTCCAACACAAGTTCTCCAGTAACTTTTCCTGATGTAACTCATTCCGTAGCTGAAATGAAACCCGATTTACTACCATAATCAATCGTATCGAAAATGCAATCTGAATTGTGATTATTTTCATGGTTACATTTGTATGATCTTACTTTATTTCAACATGAATAGATATCAGACATGCCGAGTCGAGAGCCAAGGAAAGTTCTAGAACAGAGAAAGAAACACCGAGAGAAGGAGAGGCAGCAGCTAGGTCAGTTGATTATCCGTAACGGAAGGCGCTGTTGCAACGTTATTGTGAAAAGTGCCTTTACTGGGTAGTGGGGGAGGGTGGGGATGATATACCCTGAAGGCCCGTGTTCTAAAACATCTTGTAATTGCTGTGGTTATCTACAGTATACTCTTGAACATTATTAAAAGCTACTTTGTAATATTAAAACATTTCAGGTTTGACTTTAGACATCTGCATTTAGTTAAAAAAATACCTTGAACATATATATTTTGTCTTGGCACATTTAGTGAAGGGTGCATACAAAATAAGGTCCGTTTGTCCGTCCTTGAAAGGTGAGTATAACAAATTGCAACGGGATTTAATTCATTATTGACATTGACCACTAAGTTAAATAAAGTATAAGTATACTAATACTGCCCTACACATATAATTGTGACATATCTGATACAAATATATAACTGTGAACACGATCATGGCTTACACCGAAGAAAAAAAATGGCTATATAATATCAACGGTGCCATTATTGAGGTGTTATGGTATGCGCCATCACGGATAAGAACGGCGCCTCTATCACAGAGCCAGGTGCCAAGCCAATGGTTGCCTGTGCGCGCGCTATCAGTACTGGTTAAGGGAGGGTGAAAGCAACACTTTGACGACTCTCAGGTGTCGTTAAGCGACTCTCCCACCCACGACCTTCCTGGTGAGGACAGCGCCTTCATCCTCACTTCATAATAAGTTCTGTTTTGTAAATGCTTAAGAAATTGTCATTTAAGTGCATATGAATACTCTGTTTAATAATGTGTGACTCAGTGGACGAATATGAAAACAGTTTAGGCGTATAGATATCCAAAGAATATAAACTGTTTTCATCTACTATAATAACTGACCCATTTGTTCCATTATCTTGAAAATGACCAAACATTAAAACTCGTTTTGGTATGGAGGACTGAAGAGCAAACTGTAACTTCTGGCCAACGGAGAGCCCTGACATGTCAAAACAACAATTTAGCCTTAAAGAACACTATACTGTTACTCCACAATAACTTGTTATCTTCTGTGAACGAACAGAAACCACTACATCCTTCACAGTCAAGTCAAACTTATGCCAGTTTATAAATCCAAATTGGAACTTTATCAGGGGTAATTTGCTAACTGCATTTTTTTTCAATTCGAACAAAATAAACCTTTTCTGTTATAGAGCAAAACCTGAACTGTGGTGGAGAACGAAATGACCTGTGGTGGTTGAAGATGTTACCCGGAGAAACCATGCCAAACCTGAGCACCGACATAAGCGCCAACAGGCGTCACCAACACCTCAACCGCTGCATCCCAGAGGTGATGGTTTTGTGTTGGGTGGCGGCCATGTTGGCTCTGATGGGTGAGTGACCTGAGATTCTGATCTGTTTTAACCTGATCTCGTATCAGTGGAGACACCCACTCAGAAGTACACGGGCTTAGCAACACAGGATCACAGGAATGTTTGCAAATAACAACATACACATATACCGGAATACACGCACACAGAGAGAGAAACATCACAACACACACACACGTGTGACTCAGGTGTGAACAAACTCAGCGAGCGAAGTAATGTCGTCGTGGTGAAGTATTACTGTGAGGGGTAGACGGTACACAGTCTTTCCTATTATATATATATATATATATATATATATATATATATATATATATATATATATATATATATATATATATATATATATATATATATATATATATATATATATATATATATATATGTTCTAAACATTATTAAACACACAGACAGACAATTACTCTCAGACCCAGACATAAGTCGTAGTAACTGACTGGCTGACAGGTGTTAAACAGAAATACATTAGAAGCCGTCAGTCTCCAGGAATATGTCAGTATTGCCTCGTCCACTAAGTGTTGCATTAAAATAATAACAAACTTGACCTGTTTGCTTCCTCAATATTCACGACAAGCGGTAACAAGAACAAGCATGGTTTATGGTCTGTTGGTCTTCTGTTTTTTGGAAGTGAATGTAAGATTTCATAAAACGGTCAGATTTTTCCTTATTTGTATTTCCTCGCTGAACCATGTCACTGGTCAAACGCATTCAATATCTAGGATGATTAAAAGCATTAGGCTAACACAATTATTTGACGAGAAAGTGACGTTCCTCTGTAATGACAATAAAATTTATTTTTCGTTGAACTCAGATGAGAAAAAAAAATACATTTACGAAGCAGACAGATACTTAATATATTCCTCAGGAAATAACATAATTAATTTAGAGACGATTTCCCTTTATTTCTTTTGACGACTTTGTAGAATTCTATTAGAAAATCGATGTAGAAAAATTTGTACCCTAAGTATGGTAGAAGAATTGTGAAAATATATATATCGAAATATAAATATATTGAACGTTCACAATAAACGTAGTGAATCAGGCAAAACGTGATATTAGTAACAATTGGTATTGAATGGATGTTTTCCTTTTCTAACTTCTTCCTTTTCCACTGGTCGGGTCTTAATGGGGTTCTGGGTTCGAGCTGTGGCAGTGTGGGTCTCGTCGCGTCGGTCGTGCTGTTGGTGGTCTGTACTACAATCCTATACAACCAGACATGCTGTGTTAAGCCAGGGTACCTATTTTTACTCCTACTATTCACTTCCATCCACTTGCTGTCCTTCCACTAACCCTTTTACCCACGCAGGCGAGAGTCAGGGGCAGAAGGTGAAGATGTTCACTATGCAGCGAGGACTCAAGACGATGTCCACCGACAAGGTTTATCTTCGCTACAACTTCACAGAGGAAGTGGAGCCGCTCATGTCGTTTACGTTTTGTTACTGGATGAGGTGAGTGAGTTGTCAGGGTAACTGTTATGATCATTGGTTACCAAATTTATAAGAAATAAAATAAAGAACTAATAATACATATCATAGTTTCTGTTTCTAATGGGTAACGAAAAAAAAATGACAACAAAATTATGTATTGCTTCAAGGTACGAGAGGTTCTCCTCTCTGGTGCCTCATGTGTCGTATGCTGTGAGTGACGCGGCCCCCAACATGATAGTTTTGTGTGAGTATGTTGATGTAGTCCTGCCGTAGTGGTGGTGTCACACATTTCCTTTTATATGTGTATCTCGTTATCCCTTTATATAGATAAACGATGTCTTAAATGAAACCGAAAAAATATTACCCTATACATATTTATTCCCATTAAAGACAAATGAAGTAGTAGTAAAGTTGACGGTAGGACGGCCAGGGGAAGGCAGAGACTGGGATGGTTAAAGGAATACAAATTGGGTGCCCGGAGAGATACAAAATATTGGAGAATTGATAAAAAGAGCCCCATAACGTTTAGAATCGAAGACTGTGGTCATTAACCCTCAGAAATGAATACGGTACACTGATTGATTAATGTTGTAGCTGTCACATATCGAGAAGGCATTACCACACCACTCATGCTTGCTTGCTTGCTTGATTTAGTTTCCTGGCCGTCAACTGCTGAGGCTATTACGGCCTTAGACTTGTTAATTTGACCAACTGCCTCTTGTTTTCCTTCATTTTTCTGCACTTTCCACACTTCTTGATCCTCTTCTTCTTCTTCCTCTGGTTTTCCGTTTCTTGGTTATTTTTTTTCCTTGTTTCTTAATTACGTGGTTTTGGTGTTAATATGCAGGAACCTCTTTAATAACTCTTATAAGTAACTGATTAATGTCAACATTACTTTTCTTGTTCTTGTATGGTCTACATTAGAGAAGACACGTGTGTTAAGTTTGACCTGTTTCTAAGTCATTGATTATTATTTTGTATATAAACGAGTTTTAAGTATAAGAAGAAAAATATCACTGTTCGTTTTAACTGCTCTCTACCTTACTAAATTGTTAACTAATGAATTAACTACGAACTTCTGGTCAGTATCGATCGTACTTATCTAATATATTAAGTAACCATTGAAAGCATTAAAGAAAGTCATCATATTGTTAACTAGAGGTTTTAATACGTAACATAGCAATAATATTCATGTTTAATAAAAACTATGAGCGTTACAGATCATGAAGGTATGCAGCTGAGCTCGTTCATCTACAGCAAGGCACAGCCACACATTTGGTACCGCACCTTTAGATCATACCCGGAGATCTGGTACCACCTGTGTCACATTGTAGACGACGACGACGTCGATTTACACACTGTGTACTGGCAGGGAGAGGCGAGTGTTCTGGTCCTGTTACTTAGGGTACTTCTACAGCCATACACTACAAATCATGTGCCACTAACTCAGTTTCCTCACCATAAGTCACATATACTAACAAATACACACACCTGCACTACAGATTCGTTAACTCTCAGTCTGCTCAAACACTCACTATCCCATTTTATCATTCCTCACTTGTGGACTCCTGTGTTGACTGTGTTGTGCATCAGAGATAATTTGTTTATCTTTTTTCAGTAAAGTCCTTCGCGTGTGGGTGTGTTGAAGTATACAAGTAGTGTCAAGATATTGGTGGCACAACACGGATCTCGCTAATATGTGACAGAACAATTTTATTTGTTTAGGTTAATTATTAGCTTTGTGGCGCTGCTGAGTGCATTAATTCATCAAAAATAATACATTCAATTTTGACTTGAATTCTAAATCATCACCCGAAAGAATAACAAACTATATAATATTGTCCAGTTCTACTCACATTACCACCATAGCTAAATCGTAAAATATATAATTTATAGACCAATGGTGAATGCAATATCTTGTTAGTTCATTCAAACACTAACCCACCATTTGAAACCAAACATTCCTGGGTAGATACAATTATCTTGGTGTGTAAAGAGACGATCAACAATCCCGGACTAAATTCACTTAACGATCACCTTTTTATTTTGTCTCAGGCTGACATTTAATACTTTATCAACTCGCACTTTCTAAATCACGTAGTATACAATGTTGTCAACAGTATTTTGTCAGCGGGCCTGTAGAGGGCACCCCGGGACTCCCACTTAACGGTACTCTCATCATTGGGCAGGAACAAGACCTCCTCGCCCGTGGCTTCGATAAGTATCAGGTAACAAATAAGTAACAGTAGTAGGCATCTAACTATATAACAAAGTAACAGTACAACTATCAGAGAACAATGAATACAGTAACAGTTCAAAGACAAAAAAATCTGTTGCCGGAATTTAATACCGTAGTTCAATTAAACACTGTAAAGTACGAGTACCGAATGACATTTTACATGTAACAGTTCCCGGCAACATTTCACATCTTTTTAGTGGATCTTTTTGCTCACTCATTTTTTATGTAAATTATAGATATTTTAGCTATTTATTGGTCGGTAGAAAAGATAAATAAATATTCTTCTACTTCCTACGACCCCGTATATATGAACTAGCGTCAAAATCCTAAATATATAGGAGGTTCTTGTATTAACCAACACACCTGTGACCACAGTGTACAGCAAAAATGATTTTTTACGAGTGCTGTCAATTTGTGAATAATTATATAATTAACGATCATCTCTTCACACAGGTGCTCCATGGTGACATTGCTCAATTGAACGTCTGGGACCGAGCGTTGAACGCTTCTGAAGTGGCCGGCCTGGCCACCTGTCACACTCCTGGCCTAGGAAACATCTTCAACATGGACACGGCCAAATGGGAGGTCATTGGCAACATCCAGGAGACCCTAGTCGACCTCCAGTACTTTTGCAGGTTTGTTTGCATTTAGTCAAGACGATAAACATGAAGAAATTATATGAATGAATCGGCAACTCAACTACAAAGAAGGCTGCAACAAGATTCTCAGATTTAAGCCAACACACAAACATTTGGAAACTTTTTATTATTTTAAATAGTAATGAATAGTTTAGTCTTTTAAAAATTCTACCGCTGGATTGTTTAATATTTATCCTGACAGCAACACAGCCGAAAATAGATCTACCAATCACAATCACCTTTACATACAGCCTTACTCTACCAAGTATTGCCAAGTAAAATTACCAGTACGAGACCTAGGATCTTTGGCTGACTGTACTGTACACACACACACGCACAGTAGAGGCGGGAAGTAGCTGGCACAGCTACGGCCGATAGAGCGATAAATGAACCATTTAAAATATACTTCGCACACCTCTGAAGTAGAAAACCTTTATTATTAAATTACCTTTCTAACAACTACTACTACAAAGGCATCAAATGAAATTGGAGTTATATAAGTAATTTAAACTGGACATAGTAACGTTATTATTACGGTACAGTACTACTACATGAACAAACTACTCACTTATATTGATGTCTGGTAATCAATGCTACTAAAATAGGAGCTATTTACGCACTTAAATGACTACGGCACAACTGAAACTAATAAAACAGCTATCATTAAATGTATGGTAACCATTATTACTGAGGTAGGTTAAACTGTCTGACAACTCTACCTTCACTGTTGAAATTAGAGCCACTTTCCCCTTTAAACTTTATGAGAGCTCTAATATTAATGTTGCAATGATCACAACTTTCTCCTTAAATTAAATGACAATCACATTATCACTACTAAAAAAAGTAATTTTCCTCTTAAATGACAACTCTGCTATTGCAACTGAAAAAAAAACACAGCAAATTTCCCGGTATATCGCAGCAGTGTGGCAAAGTATTTTATAACTTGAGTTCTGACCAAGCATCTAACGGGGTCACTTAAGCTACGGTGCAGTGCAAGCTTGACAAAACGGTGACGAGATTGCATATACTCTAGACAATAGTATGGGACCTTATATTACACATACACATATATACAGTCACACAACATATCATATAGGTTCATTTGCCAAAAGTATACACATAATAACACAATATTTATCATCAACAGCTCGGACCCGTTTTATATCATCTTGCCAGAGGAACGATCTTTCCATGCCACCCAAGAACTCTGTGAACTTCTCAACACCACCATGCCGGTGCCTCAGTCTCATGAAGACTCCACCTCAATACTGCAGGAAATTACGCCCTTTCTGAACGTGTGTAGCGCGGGCAGCACGTGGAAAGTCTGGTTAGGCATCTCAGACGAGCTTCAGGAAGGTGTTTATATCAACGTCAACACTGGAAGACCCATCACTTTCCACGACTTTCTCCCACCTTACCCTTTCGGTGGACAATTAAACAACTGTGTGATGCTCATTGTAGATGGTACTTGGGTTGACAATAAATGCCAACTTCAGCGATGTGGAGCCTGCTACTTCGAACGAGAAGACTTTCTGTACTTACGAGGGTTGTGTTTTGAAGAAGAAATAAGAGCACATTTTCGAATGAGCGGCTATTTTGCTGGGCGACCAGTGCTGCGTGGATATTTCAGCATGTCTGTCATATGGGATTCTTCACAAAATCTTTGGTTATTGTATGATACAGATAAAAATTCGACGCTCGTCACTTCCGAACATAGTGACACTAATGGTTACCCATTGGGCATAAAAACATGGGTGTCGGCCGTACCACTGTGTGATTCTCCCAAAGGAAGCCAGTTAGAACTGAGTTTTTCCAGTTGCTCCAACGAACATTACATGTGCAATTCTGGGTCCTGCATCTCACACGAAAAACGCTGCAACCTTCGATATGACTGCACTGATGGGAGTGACGAAAACGGCTGTGGTGCTGTGAAAACTGGCAGTGGATACCAGCAGCACGTGCCACCCAGAGGACCTAACGATACAAACCTTATTGTCACCCCCTCTGTCAATATCACACGCATCACCCACGTCGACAATATAAGAATGACCATTGGTGTAGAGTTTCTCATATCACTTACCTGGAGGGATGACAGGTTGACTTTTAGGAACCTGAAACCACGTAAGGAGACTATCATCCCTAAGGCCGATTTGAAGCACATCTGGAGGCCTCAGTACCGCGTTACTCCTCTCGAGGGAAGTCAAGTCAGGTTGCTGAATGATTTTGCTGTAGTTCCGTCCGCCAATAATGCAACAATTCCAGATTTCAACACTGTCAACAGAGGTAATTTTCTTTCTTTTCCTTTTCATCTAGTCTTGATTAAGTACTTATATAATCTATGTACCTTTAACTAAACAGATCTCCGTAATATCTTTCTATTCCTCTGTTTCCAATTGTTTATAAAGATAATAATGTATTTTACATTTGCCTTCACAAATTTCTGATCATAATGTGACGATCTAATCTTCTGGATATTTTCCTCAGACCTTGGGTATCCCGGGGCCGATAATGACATAGTGAGCAGCGAAAAGTACACAGCTGTATTGACCTGTAACTTCGACCTCTATGTCTACCCGTTCGACATCCAAGTGTGCAGCATCAACATCGACATAGCACGAGAATATGAAGAGACTGTTGTATTTTCTGTGGAAAAAAGAAGAGCGTTTTTCACCGGATCTGAGGATCTCTCTCAGTACAAGGTGAAGAATATAGCTATTGATCCTCGCTCCGGAAAGAATAAGATGACAGTCAACTTCGAGCTCCACCGCCTCCAGGGTGTGATCTGGCTGTCAACGTTTGTGCCGTCGGTAATGTTGTTGATGGTTAGCTGGGCGACGCTCTTCATCAGGATGGAGTTACTCAACGTGAGAGCCGTCATGTCCCTCACCACACTGCTGGTGCTCTACACGCTCACCACCAACCTCTCACGCACCATGCCCAACACCGCTGCCATCAAGCTTATTGACGTCTGGTTCTTCTTCATCATCCTTCTCATCTTTGTTAATATAATGGTTCATATATTCATTGAGCACATTGTATATATCTTTCCAAATAGATTGATATATGACTTTGAATTTGAAGGTAGGTCAAAGACTTACTCGGACAAGGCTGCTGAGAAAGTTATTTCACTCATTAGGTTTTGGTTTGTCCCAGTAGTTTTCCTGACATTCAATATAATTTTCTGGATATTAGTTTTCACATACTAGTTGCATTTTAATAATAACACTATCTTTTTTATGTTTATGATACAATTGATCTCCATATCATTTTATGCTAATTGGAAGTAAATTGGTGTCAGTTATTTAGTGCCGTGAACTGAGGTGAAGCCAGGAATTGATGATGATTCTTCCTAATCGTTAATTTATAATAGTCATAAACTGTAAAGTTTACTCATTCCTGATAAGACTATCAACTTATGAAACATGATTTCCAAAGAGCATAGCAAATATTTGCAGTATTACACAGTACAACAGGTCAAAGTACATTATTTTTTAAACTCAAGGTGGGCACAAATCAGACATATTTTACAGAGTGTATCACAACTCACAAAGTTTTAACAGAGTCCCTAACACTGGACCATGTGATGGGGGCAAGACCTTCCTTATCCTGCCTAAGTGTAGTTCTTCTCAGAATCTCAGAATTCCAGATCCACTTCTAAATTCATTTAAGAATTAATCTGGTAAAAAAAACTCCTGATATTTCGACTGTCGCGTAATGATTCAATTTTAATATTAAAAGCAATATCAGTGTATATGAAACAATGCCCAAAAGTTCCAAGATGTTTTCTCTGACCCAAAAGTCATAGGTTTATACTTGTACAACATTCTAGGTGCTGATGCTGATTATGGAAATATCATGATATAAAAAAGTCTTTAAATCACGTCTCTCGAAATCTTCCGAGGCCTTTACGGACCAATATCCTTTTCAACTTTCAGAAATTAATATATACTGTATATTCAACAGTGACCACTATGAAGTTTTGCGTTTATCTCTATAGTTCCTTCACCGTCCTTGTTCCCATGTAGCGATGTCCATGACCACCTAGTAAAACTGATCAAGGCTCCATGCGGCACTGGACAGATTTTGTTTAGGACTGAGCAGTTCCCCATGCAAGACTCAACAGAATCCCCGTCGAACTGACCATGACTAGATGTAGCACTAAGCAGGGACACTCGAAGCTTGCCACCAAGGCTTAGGGTCAGTTTGTAGCGGGGCAGCTTGATTGATTGTCGGACGGACACGCGAATAATCACTACAGTTCTTTGGTATTAATCTATTGTGAATATATAAACCATTTTTTAAGTTAAAACTACGTGTCTTGGATGTAAGTAAGTAATTTCCCTATTACAATGATTGCTTCAGTGTCATAAGTAAAATACCTGTCAAATTACACACAGTAATCATTAGAACACAAAAGAAATTTGAATTATAGATTGCGCATCATATATCCAATATAATATGTAGAAACTCTGATTAAGATAATATGTCAAAAGATTATAAACCACTTCTTGAGTTGTATATATATATACATATGTATATATATATATATATATATATATATATATATATATATATATATATATATATATATATATATATATATATATATATATATATATATATATATATATATATATATATATATATATATATAAGTCATGTAAATGAAAAACAAAATTTAAAAACTTTTGAGTTTCAAATTTTTTTGGAAAAATTCTGAATTAATATAAGCTTAAAATTCTACAATATGCTTACAATCTCTTGCAATTATCTCAAGTTTATTCTTCTACATTCATGGATATTAATAATATAAGCTACAAAATCAAACTTTACCAAATTTCTCACGACGGTCCTGGAGATTAAAAATATTCAGAATTTTTCTCAGCTAACTTCTAGTTGAATTTTTTTTACTTGTTTGTATTCTTAATATTTACTTATAAACTTCTTATTAACTTCAGTGGAAGCGTGTTTTATTAGTATCCAAAACTCCAAATACAAGAAAAAGAAAATAAAGAATAACAATTATGATAAATAACAGAGGTGTAAGAGTTGTTCTCAGATTATGAAGTTTTGGTGTGCTTTATTATTCAACAAGATTTAAAACTTTAATATAAACTTTACACTACAAGTGGTCATATCTTAGCATATTGTAAGTATATTATAAATTAAAAAAAACAATGTTCACACAAACTTGTCATGAAATACACAGAAAACAGCACATTAGAATTAAAGAAAATCCTTCAATTACAACTGAAGACACGGGTACGGAGTCTGCCAAAGGCTTGAGATGCACACTTGATCCGATGTTGAATCTCTTCATCGACGTCAGCGGTGGTGGACAGGTGGGAGCCGAGATACTGAAAAAGGGTAACATTAGAGCGGGTAGTACCATTAAGCTGGATGGATGGTGGAGGTGTGGCTGAACCAGGGGCAGGCTGAAAGAGAGTCTGAGTCTTACGTACATTCACCTCAAGGTCGAAGCGTGTATACGCATCTGCTTAGGTGTTCAGGATCTCCTGTAGGTCGTGTTTAGTGTGAGCGACAAGGATGAGGTCGTCTGCATACTGGAGTTCAGTAATGGACGCTGTTGACACCCTTGTTCCTGCCTGGAGTCGTCTTATGTTGAAAAGATTCTTCATCCGGTACTCGATGTCCACCCCACCAGCTAAATTGCCACTGGTACGAGTAAGGAAGGCAGCCAAGAAAATGGAAAAGAGAGTTGGTGCCAGTACACATCCTTGTTTTACATCCGTTTGGATGGGGCAGAACATAGACTGGGTGCCATTGTGCAGGACACTGCCGTTCATGCCATCGTGGAGTTGCCCCACAATGGCGATGAATTTTGGTGGGCACACACACACACACACACACTTGACCACTGAGGGGTCAAGACCTATCCGGCGCTGCTGCTGCTGCCATGGCCAATGTTGGCCCATTCCCCAACCCTACCGGAATGTCAACAAAATCACGCCAAAGTGACAATATCGTTTCGGAAAGGAGTGGAGTCAGTAATGAACAGTGATGGACAGTGCTTAGGCCAATGAAGTCAGCATTAGACAGCGCCTTTGTTTACATTCGGTGCTTCTTGAAACATGTGGAGTACCAGATACTGCTACATTATTTATGCCATCTTTCATAAAATGAACCAAAGAAGTCAAACATAACTTAGGCTTCCTAAATTTGAGTTTTACCTGAAGATTATAGCATAACTTCCACGTAATCCCTTCCACAGCATTCGAAGATCACATGTAATTGTTGGTCTGTAGTGATCTAACAAATATTCTACCAAAAGTACTAACAGCGGGGTAATGCAACATTTAATTTTTGTTTTTTGCAATATAGAAAAAAACTGTAGTATTTTAGCTTTGGCTAGGTAGCTTAGTGTGGTTTATTTTATGAATGATAAATTATATATAATGCGTTCGTGATTTTACGTCTGTTAATTAAATGCAAGATTGCCGAAGTTTTTTTTTAATGCCATAGAAGGTTACTGTTATGTTAGGCTAAATTAGGTTAAGTTAGGGTTAGTTTGGTTCATTTTATAAATGATGAATTATATAATGTAACGTATTAGGTACTTCTGGATTTTATGTGTTAAACAAAAGATTACTAACTTTTTTAACTCTTTGATATATTATTTTCTGCCGTAAGTTGCGTTGTTAAGACTTAAATTAAAATAAATCTTGATATAATGATGCCCAAATACACTGATAAAATGTAACATCCATCCGCCAATAGAAAAACAAAACATGGTCTCTTTTTTCAGGAAGATCTCAACTAATATTACTGAGGCGTTAACCCACCCACACATTAATCATTAATGAAACACTAATACGACACAGGCTGGTTTTTCTTTAGATAATTTTATATATAGGTTTGCATGTATAATTAAAAACCTTTCGGCGATTTAACTATTTTACTTTATAGAAAGTATCATGGGAAATATCAAACATGAATATATGTGAGACAGTTTGTGCAAATGAATGTTAATTAATACTGACACAGGTTCAGATTAAAAAGTGAGTTATTCATCATCTTAGTTGTCACGAGTGATCAGCTAAAGAGCATCGAGGAAGTTCTGCAATGTTATTATTTTGCTAAGTGCCAAGTGCTGTGGTTATCTAAAGTATACTCTTGAACACCATTAAAAACTACTGCTGTTTAACCAAAGAAAAGCATGCAAAATTGATGTAGAATTTAATTTGTTATTGTCATTGATCATAAGTTAAATGTAGTGTAGGTCTATTAATGTCGCCCTGCGTGTATAATTATGATATATCTGGTGAAAATAGCGAACCCGGATCATGACTTACACTGAAAAAAGAAAATAGGGATTATATAACATATTATTGAGGCGTTATGGTGTGCGCCATTATGGGTAAGTACGGTGCCCCCATCACAGAGACAGGTGCCGAGCCAAGGCTCACCTGTGCGCGCGCTATCAGTGCTGGTTAAGGCAGGGTGGTGGCAACACTTTTTTGGCGACTCTCGGGTGTCGTGAAGCGAGTCTCCCACCCACGACCTTCCTGGTGAGGACAGCGCCTTCGTTATCACTTCATCATGGGTTCTGTTTTAAAAGTGTTTATGAATTTATAGTTTAATAATGTGTGACTCAGCGGAGGGATATGGAAGCAGTTGAGGCATACAAAAAACCTCCAAAGGTCATAAACTGTTTTCATCTATAATAATAACTGACCCATCTGTTCCATCATCTTTAAAATTATCAACCATTAAGACTCGTTTAGTATGAAGGACTGAAGAACAAACTATAGCTTCCTGCCAACATAGAGCCCTGACATATTCAAACAACAATGTAGCCCCAAGGAACACTAATTTTAATATTACTCCACAATAACTTATCTTCAGTACACGAAAGAGGAACACAAACCACTACACCTTCCATAATGAAGTAACATTCATGCCGAGTTTCAAATCCAAATAGGAACTTTAATATGGACCATTTGTTAACCATAGCTGTTTCAGACCGGAGAAAAACGTTATCTGTTATTGAAGAAAACCAGACCTGCGGTGGAGGACAACCAGACCTATGGTGGAGGTCAACCTGAACTGTGGTGGAGAACAACCTGAACTGTGGTGGAGGACATCCTGAACTGTGGTGGAGGACAATCTGAACTGTGGTGGAGAATGATATGACCTTTGGTGGTTGAAGATGTTACCCGGAGGAACCATGCCAGACCTGAGCACCGACATAAGCGCCAACAGGCGTCACCAACACCTCAACCGCTGCATCCCAGAGGTGATGGTTTTGTGTTGGGCGGCGGCCATGTTGGCTCTGATGGGTGAGTGACCTGAGATTCTGATCTGTTTTAACCTGATCTCGTATCAGTGGAGACACCCACTCAGAAGTACACGGGTTTAGCAAAACAGGATCACAGGTATGTTTGCAAATGACAACATACACATATACCGGAATACACGCACACAGAGAGAGAAACATCACAACACACACACATTCACACTCACATACACACGTGTGACTCAGGTGTGAACAAACTCAGCGAGCGAAGTAATGTCGCTGTGGTGAAGTATCACTGTGAGGGGTAGACGGTACACAGTCTTTCCTATTATCAATGGTAGCTCAGACTTTATCACTGATCTCTGTTGCATCCGTAACAATAAGGTCAAGTGAGATCAATCATCGACCCACTGAGTGTTGCTTCATTAACGATGAATGTTTGGTCACAGGTAGTACAATCGTGGTCCCGGGTGAAGTGGAAAATAGCAATATAAATGAAGATTAACATGTTGGTAAAATATCAATAATTGTAGCGTATCATGTAACCCATCCTCTAAAACTGATGTGAATAACAACGGAGTTAACTCAGTTCATCATCACCCCGTATGCAAATTACTCTCAGACCCAGACATAAGTCAAAACAAAATAATAATAATATTTACCAATCACGGTCAATCAGAACCTGTGACAACTCTTATACTTTGGAGTGTTTAGTCGTCGTTTGTCTGTTTGTTGATCCATTATTCTGTCATCATAGTAACTGACTGGCTGACAGGTGTTAAACAAAAATACATTAGAAGCCGTCAGTCTCCAGGAATATGTTAGTATTGCCTCGTCCACTAAGTGTTGCATTAAAATAATGACAAACTTGACCTGTTTGCTTCCTCAATATTCACGACAAGCGGTAACAAGAACAAGCATGGTTTATGGTCTGTTGGTTTTCTGTTTTTTGGAAGTGAATGTAAGATTACTTAACTACATAAAGCAATAATTTTTTCCTTTGCTATACTTCCTTATTGAAACCATGTCAACAAAGGTAACGGTATCGCTTTCAAATGCTGGACTGTTAATACCATAGAATGAAATGCAATTACTTGCCTCTGTAATGACGATAACGCTAATTTTTTCTTCGAACCCAGATGGGAAAAGTACACTTATCAAGCAGAGAGACGCTACATAAATTATGTAGGAAGTGACCTAATTAATTTGTGGACGATCTCTCTTGAGATTGTAGATTTT